ACTTGTGGCACGACCTTCTCCAAGCTGGGTCAGGTAGCAACTGGAATGAAACATCACAAAATGAATACAATTGATGCCTTGCACCCACAAATAAAATCACAAGGTTAATATATCTATTCACTACATATCATACACTCATGGCCATTCATTCACGCCTCACCATCATACATTGGCCCCACAGCTTCCGGTAATGATGCACAATATAAGAACATAAGAACATAAGGAGTCTGCAATAGGCCGGTTGGCCTGTGCATGGCAGCTCCTGTCGAGAGTTACTACCACTCTCTATCATCCATGAATCTATCCAGCCTCCTTTTGAAACTTTCCAACGTTCCAGCACTTACTACGAAATTGCTAAGCTTGTTCCACTCGTCCACCACCCTATTTGTGAACCAATTCCTTCTATCTCCCTCCTAAACCTAAACTTATCCAACTTAAATCCATTGTTAGCGGAAGAGATTAATAATATTACTCTCTTTATTTACAGCCTTATAGTCTATTTAATCACACAACTGAACTTTGATTCAACTATACAGCTTACTGCTTGGCAACTCCTTGGTGTACCTATTGTTCTTGTCAACCATACACAGCTCTCAGGACAACCATCACTGTTGTCCCCAGTACACTGCCCCAGTATAGGAACTACTCTCTAATACCCGACTCTCCCTTTATTAACACTACTCTGGGTACCTTGCCATGTGTCACTCAGTAACAACACTGTTGACACTGAGTACCTCCCATAAGTTTCGCCTGGTCTTGGTGTATGCCACTGTGCTGCTACTTGGCGCTGTGACTAACCCAACATAATCACAGATTCTTAATAACAACTTTAAGTAGACACTGGAGAGTTCTCACTCTGCACAAGGTGGTGTCACTCTACCAAAACCAGCTGGGCCTTTCTGTCGCCGTTCTTGAGGTAGCAAGGTCACCTGATTACTAGTCCTCTACATTCCCTCTTGTCGCTTCCCTCCAGGCTCTCCACCGCAGACTACCAGCCTTACAAGATTCGTGCAAAAATGAGACAATATCCTCACTATTTTTACCCAGCTATTATCCTAGTGATCTACACTTGTTGGCACATAATATTCACCCTTCCCTTTGCAACTTAACTACATGCCTGTTTATATTACAGCACTAATTCCCAGTAAGTCGGATGATGAGCGACCACGTGTTTACTATGTGTTTCCCGCTCTGCAGACGGACAAGAGGCTCAGAGTTACCAACCCCCTTTGACACGCACTATTTTAAGGATTACCACACGCCCACCAACTTCAATTATTATCAAATATTCCCCTATTACACTGATACAACCATACTAATGGTTTTCGGTGACAATGATCATTTTATCTACAAATATGGACGTTCAGGCAAGAGGACGTGGGCGACGTGCGCCTCACACTTGGGCCAATCGCCCCGAGGTGATAGCAAGGAGAGCTTTGATAGTTGGCCACCATGAAGCTGGAAAGTCCATCAATGAAATCAGTCGGCTTATGGGTATCAGTAAACCCACAGTAAGATTATGGATAAGGCGATGTGTGAAGGAGGGACGACTAGACCGAGATCCGCCCGCCCTCGGGTAACGTCACCGGATGGCGACGAAAGGCTCGTTGCTGCTACCAGGTAAGCCTCCAAAACAACAGAAGGAGCCTGGACCCGGGATTTACAACTTTCACGTCACTCTGTCACCACAAGACGGCGATTGCATTAGGTGGAGCTGAACCGCCATGTTCCGGCAGTGAAGGAGGTGCTGACGGAAACTCAACACCATAGTCAACATGGCATAGACTTCTGAGAGAACGTCATTTTCACAGATGAGAAATGTTTTTCATCTGTGGCAGTGACTGGTAGACACTGCTGGCGGATATCAAACACTCGCTACGATGCCAGAAACATCCTGTGCACGGCAAAGAGCGGCAGAGTAACCGTTTCGTTTCATAAAAACATAAGACCATAAGAATGGAGGAAAGTGCAGCCTGGCCTATTGGCCAATACTGGGCAGTCCCATTTACACCCAACCCCTATGGTTCACATGTCCATCCAACCTACAGGTATGTTTGAAGCTATCCAGCTCATAAATCTAAAATTATATAGCTTAAAACCATTGCTACGAGTTCGCTACTGGTTGGATAGTTTGAGTACCTTTGTTATATCACCTTTGTTTAGCCCTGATTTCCATTTATACACCTCGATCATATCGCCCCTCACTCTACGTCTCTCGAGGGAGTGCAAATTAAGATGCCTTAACCTGTCTCTGTACTCAAGGTTCCTAATGCCCGGGACAGTCTTGCCATTCTCCTCTGAGCTCTTTCTAGTGATTCTATATCCATTCTGTAATACGGTGACCAGAACTGAACTGCTTAATCCAAGTGAGGTCTCACAAGCTCAAGATATAGTTTTAGGATAACCTCGCTGGTCTTATAACTAAGTCTCCTTTGTATGAACCCAAGTACTTGTTCGCCTTGTTTCGAGTAAATACACATTGTTGACTTGGTTTAAGGTTCCTACTTATCATTACTCCTAAATCTTTCTCACAGTCGGATTTCTCCATATCAACGTTGTTCAATTGATATCTGGTTTCTCTGTTTACATCTCGTAGAAAAAGTACTATAAATTTGTTCACATTAAATTTCATCTGCCATTTTTCAGACCATTCGAATATTTTTTTTTAGATCTTCCTGTAGTTTTGCGGAGTCCTTGACAGATTTAATTACACGTCCTATTTTAGTGTCATCAGCAAATTTACTTATGTTGCTGTCTACGCAGATATCTATGTCGTTTATGTACACAATAAATAATAATGGTCCAAGTACTGAGCCTTGGGGTACTCCACTAGTGACGTTACCCCAATTGGATTTAGTGCCATTAATGCTTACTAGCTGTTTCCTGTCCTGTAACCACGCCCTAATCAATTTGAGAATATCTCTTCCAATTTATGAGCCTCCACTGATTCGAAAACAATTTTAAAGAATGTTAATAGATTTGTCAGATATGAACGTCCACTTGTGAAGTCATGCTGGGAATCATTGATCAATTTCTGCTTCTCGAAGTGATTTCAAATACAGTTTGAAATTATTTCTTCCAGTTTAATCTGTCTACAATTTATGTTAAACTGATTGGACGGTATCACATTCACTATCCTCCAGGATTCTGGTACTACACCTGTTTTTAAGGACATGTTAAACAACTTTGCTAAGGGCATACTAAGCTCTTCCTTACATTCCTTTAATACTCTGGCAAATATCTCATCGGGACCTGGTGACTTATTAAGCTTTAGTTTGTCTATTTGCTTACTAACGTCGTTACTAGTCACTACTATCTCGTTCAATCTATTTTCTTCACTATCTTTGTATATAGTCGGTGCCTCAGGTGTCATGTTTAAATTTTCGGATGTAAAAACTGATGTAAATTACTCCAGTACATTCGGTTCCCTAGCACACACCTCTCTCCAACACACATGGTACTCCAACACCTATGTTACTCCAACACACATGGTACTCCAACACCTATGTTACTCCAACACACATGGTACTCCAACACCTATGTTACTCCAACACACATGGTATTCCAACACCTATGTTACTCCAACACACATGGTATTCCAACACCTATGGTACTCCAACACCTATGTTACTCCAACACACATGGTATTCCAACACCTATGTTACTCCAACACACATGGTATTCCAACACCTATGTTACTCCAACACACATGGTATTCCAACACCTATGGTACTCCAACACCTATGTTACTCCAACACCTATGTTACTCCAACACACATGGTATGCCAACACCTATGTTACTCCACCACACATGGTATTCCAACACCTATGTTACTCCAACACACATGGTATTCCAACACCTATGTTACTCCAACACACATGGTATTCCAACACCTATGTTACTCCAACACACATGGTATTCCAACACCTATGGTACTCCAACACCTATGGTACTCCAACACCTATGTTACTCCAACACACATAGTATTCCAACACCTATGTTACTCCAACACACATAGTATTCCAACACCTATGGTACTCCAACACTTAATAATATAATGGTTGCCTGTAACGAGGATGGCCGGCCCAAGGGCCACCTTGGCCTGAATTTGTTTAAGGTTTAGAAGCTTCGTTTTTTTTTTTTTTTTTTTTACGGGCCTAGCCCACCAGGGCACAGGTCAATGACCCACATCAGGGCCCGAGTTAACGACAACTCGCCAACTGCACTGGCTAACCATTACCCCGGAATACGATCCGCAAATCGATAAAAATCCAGGTTCCCAATTACTGTTGGGTAGACAGAGGCAAATGACGTAAACAAACTTGCCTATACTCTCAACCTGCATGGGATCGAACCAGGGTCCGCTCGCTTGCGAGGCGAGCATGCTGACCATTACACCTATGGTATGTTAACACACAAGGTACTCAATACACTTGGTACTCCTCCGTCGTCCCTACCTGCCCCCTATAGTGGCCCCAGTGTCTCTCAGCCGGGTGGCTCCTTTATACTGTTGACACTGACCGACTGAGGCTGATAGGTCACTACTCCTGGGCCACTGGTGGCAGCCGTCCATCCAGGTACTGTGTTATACCAGTAGCCAGGAGTTGCCACCATCTTCATATTAAATATAATGAGAAGAGACGCATTTTAAGTGTAATCGATAATGATTATGATTATAAAGCAATGTATTATAAGAATGCAATCGACGATTAAAATTAGGATTACTTGTAAACGTGCAACTAATTGTAATCGATCAGGAATTCTTTTTGTCCACGGCAATACAAAATAATGCATAACAGAATATAAACAAGAATATAACAAGATTATAAAATGTTACCAACTTTTTCCTTATGTTATGTAAGTAGCCTCCCAAGTAATCCTTCTACCATGATAACTTAACAGTTAATCTTGTCTACATTAATCAGTGAATTAAACTTTACCCAAGTGATAACGTAACTAAAATACACCTGTGTCTGTCACAGGTGCGGCAGGTGGTCCAGTACGGCAGGTGTGGCAGGTAGTCCAGTACGGCAGGTAGTCCAGTACGGCAGGTGGTCCAGTACGGCAGGTGGTCCAGTACGGCAGGTGGTCCAGTACGGCAGGTGTGGCAGGTGGTCCAGTACGGCAGGTGTGGCAGGTGGTGCAGTACGGCAGGTGGTAGAGTGTGTTACTGGACACCATGAGAACACAGAGCACTGCCGCACTTCTACTGGCTGCTGTCACCATCATATACTCGTTCTTGTTTATATCTACTGGGTGAGTATTTTTTTGTATCCATAATTATAGTGACTAGATATTTGCTTTTTACTTCAAGGTGAAAAACTTTAAACTTATTAATCTTCAAATGTTGTGCCATAGTCTGGTACTGGTTTATTGAACATTAGTCTATCTTAATTACTTATTAAACTATATAACTATAATCAACCATAGTAATATTACAATTTTTACCGAAAGAACATGTTTTTGATTTAAAAATATAAGGAATAATGGTAATATTCAATTATATGTATACAGTAGAGAGAGAGAGATAACATTAAGGTACACAGTCAGTTACACTAGAAGTAGTAATAATTTAACACGCATTCATAAATCTTATGAGTATGTGAGAAATAACTTAATAATTTAGTGTTACAATATATTTCTTTTAACACTTCCAATCCTATTGTCCTTATACTCGTACAGGTCTGTCTCTCTCTCTGTCTCTCTCTCTCTCTCTCTCTCTCTCTCTCTCTCTCTCTCTCTCTCTCCCCCTCTCTCTCTGTATTGCCACACTAATGATGGTTCCACAGTAAGTCTCATACACCCTGGTTAGTCCTGCCATGAGAGAGGAAGCTAGGCGCTCACATGTGATGATCAAGGCGTGTTAGAGGGAGGGTATTGTAAGCCCGGTATGGGTTTCCATTTTAAATTAGTCCATCATAGCGCGGGAAGAGTCAGTCAAAAAACATGGTCAATATGGAGAAAAGCAAAACACACACACGAGCACAGAAAAAGGAGAGAAAGAAGAGTCCAGTCCAAGACCAAGGTTAAATGAGGGTTACTTACAGATCATTATACATGGTGAAGGTTTCTATCCAGTGTCATATATAAGTGGAGGAGGGGATTTGGCTATGGCCTCCCTCCTTATAAAAAAATAAATAAATAAGTGAAATGAAATCAAATAGTTACTGGTCTCAAATTGTTCACACTACAGTATGCACCGATACTTTTTGTTACGAGTGTACATAACAGCCATCCACCCACTCTACAATGAGACAGTTTTTCTTTTATAATTTTATTCAATTCTGTTTGAAAATTTTCTGATGTGATTATGTGGTTGGCTCAGTTGGATGAGGATTTGCTCCTTGAGTTGTATGAGTTCTAAAGGCATTGTTGATTACTTCTTTATGGTCCTCCGCTTCACTCAGCTGGTTCAGAGGAGGACCCACACAGATCTTGGCAGTGACCAGCATCTCGCTAATCTTGCCACTCCACCTGTTGTTGCTGAGTGTGGGGCCATCCAAGCTGATGGTGATGTGTCTCAGGCTCAACTCCCCAGTATGGAGGTCACAAACTAGCCAGACTAACCTCCTGCCCAGCTTGACCTCCACATAGTGCATTACTCCTCCCTCCCACCCAGTGTTTACATTAGTGGAGTCCCCTCCTGTTGCCTGGAGGGACTGGTCAGCTCCTCTCTCCCTCAGCCAGTCCACCGGATTGTCTGCAATCACACCTGCATGCGTTCTCTCCTCTGTCGTCTCCTCAGGAAGAAAATGCCACAGATATCTCCCTCCTGGCTCACGGCATACAGAGTAATGCTCCTCCTTGATCATACCAGGGAACAGTCTGTTACTGCTCTCTGTCTCCATCATTACTTTAGTGTCATCACGTCTGCCATCAAACAAGATGCAGCTGATCCTAGTCTCCCTTACCTCCCTCTCAAACTCCAGGTCCAGTTCAGTCATCACTATTGACTGTGTCCTCAACTTGCTGTAATCTATCTGCAGGTGACTGTCATCCTCTGTGATGAAGCCAGCATCAATCCAGGCAGCTGTAGCAATCTCTGCTGCCTCTCCCAGGCCAGTGTGGTGCCTTTTGATGGCCAGATGTTCTCTGTGTTGTATTTCATCTTCTTATGTGCAGGACCAGGTCCAGGTTCTGGGACAGTGAACTCCTCGCCATCATTCCTCCCACCCTCCATTATGTCTCCAGCTTCCTCCAGCAGAGAAGCCCTCCTTGCCTCCTCCTCCCTCCTCACAGACTCCTCCAGCTTTCTCTTCCTTCCCTCCTCTGCCTCCCTCCTCTCCATCTGCCTGTGTGGCCGCCACCTGCCTCCTATGCCCAGGAATGTCTACAGGTCCTATCTGATGTGGTCCCACACTTCCTACCTTCTCCCTTTGTCCCTTTATGTATGGGATCTTCATCTCCCTGCTGCACCTACAGTCTATGTGAGCCTCTCTGGCACAATCTGGGCTGCAGCCCACCTCGGCACAGCTCCTGATCTGGTACTTGCAAGAGAGAATGTTAAACAATCGGTCTAAGCCCTGAATGAAAGTCTGCTTCACCTCCAGCTTCCCCAAAGACACCTCCACAGCCTTGGCCCACAAATTATCCATTCTCCTCTTGATACTCCTCTCACTACAATCACAGGTACAGTGAACTGTGCATTGGTCTTCTGCCACTGTGCTAGCATATCAGTATAGATGTCATTCACTAAGGACTTGACTTTGTAGTTTCTTCTGTCTGCATCACTGTCCTTCCTCTTCAGCAAGCCCAGCCTCAGCAGGTCCCTCACAGTGGGCAGCACTGACACCAGCAGCTGCCTACCTGGTCCTACCAGGCTACTGAGGTGGCAGCTGGAGTTACTCCTTGTACTGGGAGACGACATAGTCACACCTGAAACAAATATTAACACTATCAGAAGACATGCATGAGCACTCTTCAGAGGTAAAAATATGAGTAACAGATCAATACACACCATACGTTAACATACATACTGTATCGATAAAACAATCACACTACGTGCAAACGATGGACTGTGTATTGTGAAAACTTGCACAATATGCACACATACAATTATGCAAGATTAGAGCGATCTCTGTTGCTTGACAAACGTACAAATGCTGCAGAAATGATCTATCTACCTGAACACACACTACAGTGCATCAATGCGAAACTTCGAAGCCAAATAGATGTAGCTAAATGATTTCCAATTTTGACATTAAATATATTTCTGAGCTTCTTACGCATAAATCTACAGAATTATTATCTGCCGTTTTCATAAACAAATAATTCATGAAAATTGACACACCTTATACGATCACTGTCCTAAAAGTACCGTCCAATTAGTTTAACATCAATTGTAGGCAAATTACTGGAAGTAATGATTTCAAACTCTATTCGAAATCACCTCAAGAAACACAAATTGATCAATGATTCCCAGCATGGGTTCACAAATGGGTGTTCAATCTGACAAATCTTTTATCCTTCTTTTCAATTGTTCTTGAATCAGCTGATGACGGACACGAGTATACCTCGACTTTAGAGAAGCCTTCGACAGGGTCCCCCACGGAAGACTATTACATAAAGTGGAGGCTCATGGCATTGAAGGAGATATTCTAAAATTAATTAGGGTGTGGTTACAGGACAGGAAACAGAGAGTGAACATTAATGGCACTATTTCTGATTGGGGTAACATCACTAGAGGAGTACGGCAAGGCTCAGTATCCGGACCATTACTATTTATTGTATACATTAAACGACATATGTATAGACGTAGACAGCGACATAAGTAAATTTGCTGATGACACTAAAATAGGACGTGTAATTAAATCTGATAAGGATTCCATTTTTTTTTTAGGAAGATCCAAATAAGTTTTTCGCATGGCCTGAATAATGGCAGATGAAATGAAATGTGGACAAATGTAAAATACTTAGTCCAGGAGATGTAAACAGAGAAACCAGATATCAGATGAACAACACTGATGAAATTTCCTCTATGTGTGTTTCTCTAACTTCAGTTCCATTATCCTCTAACTCACACAATGATAAAGCGAACTCATCTAGTACCTCTGTGTTTATAAGATGACGCAAAACAACATTTTTCACTACAGACTTTCTCTAGTGATGGCTCATATTTAATTTGGGCCCTATACTCGGGAGCCAACTTAATCTAATCCACTTTCCTAATATTAGAGGTTTGTAAAGTTATTACTGATGGCTCCTTCAGAAATTCTTATACACTGAAAGGTTTCATTTTGACCTGTCTTCACGCAACTCAAAGTAATAACAGAATTTGCCACTAGTCAAAAAAGAGGTGAAGCTTGATCGATAAAGAATAAAGAAACAAACCCCCTGCCACTAGAGGTCACAACAACACGCAGGGTTAACACTATAATGACTCTTATATTATATCCGCCAGGTTCTTAATAAACCTCAGATTAACTCAAAATATATGTATCATGTTGAGGAGGAATCATACACTGCATAAATTCTTAATATCATAAAATTAAAGAATGTATTTACAAGGGACAGGTATTCTTTGCTGAATCACCCTGTTTATTCTGAGTCCAGACCGAGTGTACCAAACTTGGACCACATCCTCACACCAGCCAGATTTAGTTTGATACATTTGAAAAAAACTTTTGGTTTTGACTTCGCCTCCCTTGCTACCTTCAGTTCATTATTCCTCTTTGCTTCTCTTATCTCGGTCAATACCTTCTAATAATCTCAGAGGTAAACTTCTCCACGATTTATTCTTCTACCTATAGCCTTCCTTTGTCCAATAAATATTCTTTAAATAATTATATATAAATTTCTGGTCTTTGTTATTTGATCTGCGTCTTCTGTATGGTATGCTCTACCTTTATGCATTGAGTAACTTTATGCATTATATAAATTGTTATGGAACTCGTCAGCCTGAGATCTCATGGTCAGGTCATCAGGTAATATTAGTTCACTTTATTTACCACCTCACGTGAGGTCATGTAATTCACCCCTAAGCGCAATACCCCTTCTCTCAGCTGCCTGTTCAACCTATCAGAGTTTGCCTTCCTGAAATCAAGGACCTTAATGGAATTTTCCTTGCAACTGACATTAAGTTCTACTTTGAATCTTACTTTTTTGTGATTACTGTTAGCTAGTTCGTTCTCCACCTTGGCATTACTCTCTCTGCTTGACAAAACTAAAACTAGTATATTATTACCCCCTCTGATTCTGAGCTACCCATAATGCTGGTCCAATCTATTTGACTAAAATTAAAGTCACCTGCTATGTCT